AAGGCCAGCCTGGTCTACATAGTGGGTTCCAGGACAGCTGGGCTACAGGGAGACCCTGTCTCAAATAAATAAATAAATAAATAAATAAATAAAGTAAATAAGTAAATAAATAAATAAATAAATAAAGTAAATAAATAAATAAATAATCACCGTACAAAACATGGGCTAGCTCCCTAGAAGTTATTGGCCAGGGAGGCCTCAAGGGTCACCAAAACAACACAGGCTATTGCCATTGCTCTTGGTTACCCACCATAACTCCATGGTAAGACCTTACTGCTGTGAAAACACCACACACTTTGGATGCAATACATAGAGAAACTGATCTCAAAATGATCAGGAAACTTCCTTTTGATTTGCTAACTTGCATAGTGCTAGAAAGTGCTGAGGGAGAAAGACATCAATGTCTTATCCAGGGCTGAATTCTATGTGCTATAATACTGGCCTGTCGGACAAGATGTAACTACTGGTGCAATAGTGGCAGGACTCTTTCTGGTTGGATTTGAGGCCTGCTCCACAGGAGGAAATTTCATGCCTGGTACTGTAATCCTGGTCAAAAGCCCATGGCTAGGGATGTCATCGAGCCCATGGTAAAGCCTGCTACTGTTATTTTTCTAAACTGCCATGCTGTCAAATGGCCTGTCTGTACCCACAGACACAGCTGCACTCAACCATCATCAGAGATGCTTCTTTTTGCAGTGTACAGCAGTCAGTGGAGAGATACATAACTGACGAAAGCTCTGAAAGAGACTGAGTGCTCAGCCCTAGGTGGTACATCTATAGTCACCCCATCACCATCAAGTCTTAGAGAACATGGAAGAAAAGAATGCAGAAAGTATGTAAGAGCTAGAGGATGGGGAGGAGTGCTGCTGTGAAGTGCTGACTTCTGAACACGGCATGCTAGTGCACGCATGAATTCGCCCTGGCTATGGTTACCTGCACAAGACCTGCAAAAGATCAAGCTAGTCAAAAGCCTGGCATCAACAGCATAGATGATCTCCAGGCCCCAGGCCTTGCTGAGCTACTGACAATTGATGGCTGCAAGGAGAGGAAGAATCACTAATTTTTGAGGGTGTGATCCCTAGTAGGTTTCTCGTGCTCCTGTGGATGGCCCCATACCCATGTATATATGGGTAGCACTAATTGGATTTAGTGAGATTTCTTTTAAAAAGACATGAAGACATGGGTACGTTGGGTGTGGGATTAGGATTGGAGTGGAGAAATGTAGTAGATATGATCGTGTTTAATTATATACATGTATGAAGTTATCAAAAACAAAGAGTATTCAAAAACTAACTTCTTTCTATTTAGAGAGGAATTAAAAGGAGAGATAAGCTATGTTGATCCCTCATAATATACCAGGAAACCATGTCACCTATGCCCCAAAAGGCCAGTGCTATAATTCCTATTTCAAAGACAAAGGAGACTCAGCAAGACTAACCAAAGACCACTAATTCCTTATGGCCGAGATTCAAGCCCATGAATCCAGTTTCTTCATGTAAAAACTGCAGATGAAAATGTGTATTTTACATCATTATGTGAGGACTAAGGAAGACAATCCACAGTGCACTTTAAGCACTTGCTCTGACACTATGCAAATTAAATGAATACTAAATAATTATATTCGTATTCACAGCATTTTCCTCAGGATAGCATTTGAATGTGGCAATGCCCCATCTCAGTTGTCCCCTCACCCATTCAGTTAATTTTCTGTTCTCAACTTACCACAGACCCCAAAGCATCAAAGCCTAGAGATCAAGGACTGAGAACTTCTAAAACAGAAACTCAAAACTAACTTTTTCAGTCAAGTTGATTGTCTCAGGCATTTATTGTCGCGATGGACAGCGGACTAATAAACCAGTCCAAAACGAATTACATTTTTCCAGTGAAGAAAATACGACACCAAGCAATGTCAATGGTGTATCACAGTCATTTGTAGCATTTCCACACTGGCCTTTCAGAAAATTGTGTGGTTCTAAAAAGTATTTTAGGATGAAATAGCTCAGAAACTTACAAATAGCTATAGCTTTCTAGATTCATCTAAAGCATTTCAACTGGAGCAAGAAGTTACTTCATTGTAAAAATGAGCCATGGGGAAGGGGTAAGGTAACACTGAGTAGGGATGTAAATAGGATAACACGGAGTAAGGATGCAAAGCAGCTGGACCTTACATCTGTTGTAGATGAGAATGTAAAGCACACAGCTACTTTGGATAACAGTCTGACAGTGTCCTGCATAGATAAACACAAACCATACAGCCTGGAAATCCTACTCCTGGGTATTTATCCAAGTGAAATGAAAATTGTCTGTGGTACAGTTCTGAGCAGAGATGTTCCTAACGGTCACAGGCAGGAAACAATTCAAATGTCCAACAGCAGGTCAACACTATGCAACACTAAAAAGACTAGCCTTTGGATCTGGAATATTCCTAAAGGTCCCTGTGAATGGCTTGGTCCTATTTAAGACACTACAGGAGGTGATGGGCCTCCTAGGAGGCCGTCAGTCATTGGAGGTTTGTGCTGATGAAAGACTGGGACTCCCAGCCCCTTCCTCTTCCTCTCTTTTGCTCTCTGGCTGTAAAGTAGGCAGCTGTGTCCTGACATGTGCTTATATCATGAAGTAGTATCTCACTACAGGCCTAACAGAAACAAGGCCAATAGATCACAGACCAAAGTCCCAAAATTATGAACCAAACAAAACTCTCCTCCCTATAAGTTGATTATCTTAGTTGTTTAACAAAGTAATGGAAAGGGGACTAACACAGAAACAAGCTACTGGATTCCAAGATGGATGAATGTCAACTACACCATGTTAACTGAATACAGACAAATTCAAAGATCCATATGGCTACATTTATGTGTTATTCTACAAAAGCCAAAACATTATGGACTGGAAACAAATCCATGGCTTCTTAGGTGGGAGAGTGCAGGAAAGGTCAACTATGAAAGGGTCCTGGGAAAGCAGGGTGACACAACTAACTGTTCCATATTTTGATGGTGATAGGGATTCTATAAGTGTGGCCATTTTCCAACACTTATAACATTCTACATTAAAAAGGTTTACTGGCGTGTGTTTACTTTAAAGCAATACTCTTCAGTACCCCAGAAAAAATAAAGTACAATTGAGATTTCCAAAATCCAAGACTCTTCCCTGATTTTATGAGAACTAGAAGGAACAGTAAGCTGGATTTGTTTTCCTTCATTATTAAAATTATTTACCACATTGGCTGGGGAGATAGTCCAGTCAGAAAATTGCATGCCTTTCAAGCATGGCTGAGTTTAATCTTTTAGAAACCTTATAAAGAAAATAGCTGGAAATAGTGGTATTTGTAGTTATGATCCCAGAGTCAGGAAGACAAAGACAAGCAGATCCCTAGGGCTTGGCACCCAGACAGTCTAGCTTATTTGGTGAGTGCCAGGGCAATGAGAGACTGTCTCCAAAAACAAGGTGTGTGGCATCTGAGGAATAGCTTCCCAGGCTGTGTTCTGGCTTCCACATATACACAGATACACATGTATGGACACACACACACACACACACACACACACACACACACACACTACTGACCATAAGAAAGTGTAAGTAGAACAAAAAGACTATAATAAGAACTACAAAAGAACAGGCGCTATGGTAGATTGACACAGAGAACAATTGACACTATGAGACAAGTCAACACAATTATGCAGTGTAGGGGCTGGAGAGCTGGCTCAGGAGTTAAGAGCACTGGCTGCTCTTGCAGAGGACCCAGGTTCAGTTCCCAGCACCCAAACGGCAGCTAACAACTGTCTGTAACCCCAGTTACAGATGATCTGACACCCTCTTCTGACCTCTGTGGGCATTGCACAATAGGGGTGCACTCACATACATGCGGGCAATACACTCATGCACATAAAAATAAAATAAAAATAATAAAATATTTTTAAACTATCCAGTGTAATGACAAAGTGTCATGGTTGGCTCTGATTGTCAACCAGACACACCTGGGAAATGTGTCAGTTGTGGAATTTTCTCTATTAGTCGTGTCTGTGAGACATTTTCTTGATTGTTAAAGTGATGTTGGAGGGCCAGCTCACTGTAGTTGGTGCCACCTCTGGGCAGGTGGTCCTGGATTGTATAAGAAAGTAGGTTGAGTACAGGCCAGGGAAGCCAGTAAGCAGCATTCCTTTGTGGTCTGTGCTTCAGTTCCTGCCTCCAGGTTCCCCTCCCCTGCTTAAATTCCTACTTTGGCTTCCCTCCGTGATGGACAGTCACTTGGAAGAGTTAGAGGAAATAAACCCTTTTCTGTCCATGTTGGTCTTTATCAGAGTGTTTTATCACAAGAATAGAAAGCAAACTAGGGGCTGGAGAGATGGCTCAGCAGTGGCTAACAGCACTGGCTGCTCTTGCAGAGGACTGGAGTTCAGTTCCCAGCACCCACATGGCAGCTAGCAACTGTCAGTAAATTCAGTTCCAAGAGATCAGATGCCCTCTTCTGGCGTCCATGGGCATTGAATACACAGGGTACACTTACATACATGCACTCATGCACATGAAAACAAATATATTTTTAGAATATAGAAAGCAAATCAGGACACAAGGTGACTCTTTTAAACATTCCAAGAAGTTAATCATGAGAACTATGTACTAATATAAAAAGCAGGAAGGAATACATACATAAAAAGTAAGAATATGGGCAATGAGATTTAAATCTGATCCATGAATCTAGAACTGCACTTGCAGCATTAGAACTCTTATTCCTTTCCAAGTACTTTTCTGGAGAACAATTTATATGCAGATTATTCAGTCAACTGCTACAGTCTGTTCAGGACCTGAAGCAACCAGGGCCTCTTTTTTTTGCTACAATATGTCTGGCTTGTCCAAAAGCACCATCCTACCTAGATCCAAATGATAACACAAAGATACAAGAGTCCGAAACAGCTGGGTGTTCTGGGTAATATGGAGTTCCTCCTACAAGATTTGGACTACATCAGGGAGCTTCAAGAAAATACTTTGAAGGCACTCACAGCTCCACACTTCTCAAGCCTTCTTCCTCTTGGCGGATTCGAACAGCATGAGGAATGTTCTGTTCAATTCCTGAAGTACACAAAAGCGAGAGATGAAGATTCCTGAATACAGAATAAACCACTTAGGAGATGAGAAATGTCCTCTATAGGCTCATGTACTCGAACACTTGGTCCCCAGTTTGTGGCACTGTTTGAGGAGGGTTAGGAGGTGTGGCCTTGCTGGAGGAAGCATGTCACTGGGGTAAGCTTTGAGAGTTCATAGTTTTGTCCCACTTCCAGTTTTTCTGGCTATTTTGTTCTCCAACTGAACATGTTTTTTTTAAAAAACTCTTGCATTCTGAGTTTCCAATAAAGAACTCAAGCTATTTCAATATTAATTTTTCCCCAGTAGGAACCTCAGTAGTAACTAAAAGGCGTTCAGTAAGGCACCGTCTTCTCTGTAGGTTCTCAGAACCCATCACCTTTTTATAAGTCAGCTCAGAGACAGTTCTCAAAACATAAGTTGTCATGTATAACTTTCCTCTAAATGTGCCTGTCATCGCAGAGTAAAAGGCTGTAGAAAGCAGTTCTGACTGGAAGTTGCTGTTCCAGTTTCCTCATTCTTAGTACAGTTAACCCCAAAATAACTTTCCTCTAAATGTGCCTGTCATCGCAGAGTAAAAGGCTGTAGAAAGTTCTGACTGGAAGTTGCTGTTCCATTTTCCTCATTCTTAATACAGTTAACCCCAATGTCACTGCTTTTGCATCATTAGGACGCTCTTATTAGATGCTCTATGTAGCTTCAAATAGAAAATCACACTACTCAATAGAAACTTGATGTCAATATTTAAAATTTAGGGCTGAGGATATAGCTCAGTTGGTAGTGCTTGCCTAGCATGCACGCCGCCTGAGGTAGAGCTCAGGACTGCATAAAATCAGTTGTGGTAGCACATGCCTGTAAGTTATAAATCAATAGACTGGAGAGATGGCTCTAAGGGAAAAGCACTTGCCACATAAGAGTGAGGGCTAGAGCTCACATCTCCGGCACCCGTGTAAATGCTGGGCAGGCATGGCGGTCCACCTGCAAGACCAGTGAACAGGAGATACAGTCAGAGGAACACTGAAACAAGCTTCCTGGGTAGACTAGCTGATTTAGTGAGCTCTGGATTCAAGTAAGAGACTTTGTCTCATTATATAAGGTAGAGAGAGAGTGATCAAGAAAGAGATCAATGTCAACATGTAACCTCCATATTCACGGACCCACAGATTCTACAAATGCATATATATACACATACACATACAACATACACACACAAATTAAATAGAATATTTAATAGCCATAAAGGAGAATGGAAGCATCAAATACATTGGCTCATATCTGATTTTTTTCAAATGATGTCATCATGGAAACCAGACTAACATTACAATTTAAATGTAACTGAAGGAAAAAATATCTACCATGTGATGAACAAATGTAGCCATCAAATGGAATGCATGTTGGCTAGCCATGAAAAAGAATCAACTATGAATACATATAATCTCAATGATCCTCAAGAACATTATTCACATGAAAGCAGACAGATGCTAAGGATCATATATTATATGACTCCATTTCTTGAAATATCTAAAGAAGGCAAATCAAAGAGGAAGAAAGCAGTTCCCTAGAATTAAGAGATGGAAATAGTGACATTGCAAACATTTGGGGGAATGATAAAACCAGCTAACATTGGACTGCAGTGACGATGGCATAGCTCTGTAAATTTACTACTAACCATTCAATCATATGCTTAGATGTGTTCTATAGTAATTTAGTTTCACCTCCAACAATGCTATTTTTAAGAAAACAAACAAGAATAATGAGCACAGTTGTTTTGCTTCGTCTGGAGAATGGCAAAAAAAAAAAAAAAAGAGTTTCTGTGTTTTTAAAGAAAAACCATAATTTCATACATAGGATTTTCTCAATTTAAAAACTTTTGTTCACACACCCCCCCAGAATTACTGCCATCCAAAATTATACATTTAATCTTCATCTTTTTTTTATGAATTGAATCTTTTGCTATGTTAGGTCAAATAGTTCAATATTGTTAGGCCAAACAGGGCCCCAAGATGGAGTCAGTGCCGACCAGCATCATGGCAATCACAACCTGGTGGGCAGCACTCTGGGAATCAGAAACTAAATATCCCTAGTTTCTCAGTAACCACCTGACCTGACCCTTGTTTTTAACAATGCACCCTGATCATGATAGCAATTTTCCACCTAACTGCCCCTTACCAAGGCACCTGCTATCAATTCACCCCTAACCCCCACCACCACCACTACAGTCCTCCTGCCCCTACCCACAAAAGAAAAAATTCTATAAAACCCAGCCTGCTGTAACAAGAAATCACTGGCTTTCACTCTCCCATGGGAACAGGCCAGTCCAGCAACTTGTCCCTTCCAATAAATTTCTTCTTTTCTCCACTCAGAGTGGTCTCTTGTGGTCCTGGTCTTTTCACGAACCTCACATTAATAATAAAGTAAAACCCATAACTCCTAAATTCTTCCTCAATACGCCACTGGTCAGAGTAACATAAAAACTCTTACAATTTTTAGATTTGGTTATTAGGGTAAGGAAGTATGGAATTTGAAAGATGTTTCTTGTTATCACACTGTCAAAACTGATAGATGGTTGGTGGTGTATTTCTTAATCTATGACCTTGAGATGCCCTGGAGGAGTCCAATGTTGTGTAACCAGACAGGAAAGCGTCTTCCTGTGTCTTCAGGAGGGAGCACAGTGCCAGGCACAGCAGGTGTACCAATGTTTCCTTAAGTTGAATGTATGTACACACACCCACAAGCATTTGTTCTCCAAATCCATATAGATGGCAGTTTGTGCTTAGTAAAACATAAATTTATTTAAACAGGTTGTAAAAATCCATAGCAAATTTTATGTTTTATATAGCAGTTCAAAATACTTAAAACTACAACTTTGAAAGATTTTTCAATTCTCTTCAAATCTTCAGCTTTTCGCTTTATCAGTCATTATCTGAAGTAAACTTGCACCTATTTCTTTAGCTTTGGCCAAATCTAACTTACATTTTTAAACATTTTGACCAAAACATGGATTGCAATTCAAGTTCATTGTTAGATCACATTTGAAATAGCCAAGCTAACAACTAATACATAGCTATTATTAAGTCACAAAATAGCATCTGTGTGTTTTTCAAAAGGCCCTTTTCAGTTACGACAGGGGAGCACTTTGTTTTGTAAATAATAAAATGTCCGAATCTTCCTAAGACCTCTACCTGGGTCCTAGGAAGGCCAGCCTGTTTGCAGTCTTTCTGAAGTTGAGAAGCTGGTCAGGGCTCTTCCCTGCCTGAAGCACAAATTCCTGTTTCTGGGGCCTTCACTCATTGGTTGGGGAGCTTGGAAGTGAGAGGCCAAGAGAGGAGGGAGGCCCAGCACCATTTAACAACAGCCCCAATTGTGTGCAGGGAACCTAATACTCAGGCCCAGCTCATGTTTCTGGCAAATCAATCTGCCGTGGGGCTGAATACTTAATGGCATCAGGTAAAACCAGAAAGCGAGATCGCCTTCTCCCTGTTTTCTGTTCCGAAGCTTCATCTAGACTCTATACTATATGGCAAAAGGGAAAGGAGGTGCTGATTGCTACAATAAAGCAACCACAAGCACTGTATGAGGGTGGGCAGACAGAGCTTGAGCTATGATCTGGCCTGGAGGCATGCTCTATTGTGGCATCAGGTAAAACGAGAAAGCGAGATCGCCTTCTCCCTGTTTTCTGTTCCGAAGCTTCATCTAGACTCTATACTATATGGCAAAAGGGAAAGGAGGTGCTGATTGCTACAATAAAGCAACCACAAGCACTGTATGAGGGTGGGCAGACAGAGCTTGAGCTATGATCTGGCCTGGAGGCATGCTCTATTGTTTA